GATTGGTTGCGAACGGTTCGGTTTGGTGATAAAGAGTTTCTATTCGTGACCAAAACTTATCTTTTGATTGGTTTCTACCTATTATTGGATTTTGAGTTATATCAAGATAACAATGACATAGTTGTATGTCTTCGTTATCTTTGTAGGATGAAGTTCGGCTTGTTGAAGACATTTTTAGTACCTATGGCTGGTAACATGTGTGGTTTAGCTTACCAACTCGCCCCCTATTTATACACAAAAATTTCAGTTCATTACAAATGAAGACAGATTAGACAATATACTGGCAAGATTCTTCTGAAAAGTCTGGCAAGATTCTTCTGAAAAGTCTGATAAGAATTGACAACACCACAGGACGAACTAATGCACCAGGCATTCAATCTAGCGTCTGAAATGGATGATTATATCCGTAATTTGGCTGGCAACAATCAATTATCTTCTTATCGTGGTTCTATTCCTGGCCATATAGTTATCAATCGTGATCGGGAAAATGCCAATCGCAATCTCTTCAATGATTATTTTTCTGAAAATCCTCGATTTCCTGAGTCGATGTTTCGTCGACGATTCCGAATGAGTCGTACTTTATTTGGTCGTATTTTGGCTGCTGTCCAAAGTCATGACAACTACTTTCTCCAACGAAGGGATGGGTGCGGCAAACTTGGGTTGTCGGGTTATCAAAAAGTTACTGCTGTATTTCGAATGTTGGCATATGGCGTGGCTGCAGATGCTACAGATGAGTACGTTAAAATAGGCGAATCGACGGTGGTAGAAGCTTTGAAGCGGTTTTGTCGTGCCATCGTGGAGGTGTTTGGAGAACGCTATCTCCGAACACCCAATGCTAATGATGTGGCACGACTACTCCAAGTTGGGGAACAACGAGGTTTTCCAGGAATGTTAGGTAGTTTAGATTGCATGCATTGGAAATTGAAGAATTGTCCAACCGGTTGGGGAAGACAATATTTCGGTCGTAGTAGATCTCCAAGTATTATTCTTGAAGCTGTAGTTGACTATGATCTTTGGATATGACATGCATATTTTGGTTTACCGGGGTCCAACAATGACATTAATGTGTTGGAATCYTCCCATCTTTTTGCAAATCTTGCAGCAGGTACTGCTCCTCCTGCTAATTATGTCATCAAAGGAAAATCATATAATATGGRMTATTATTTAGCTGATGGCATATATCCAAAATGGGCCACTCTTGTTCAATCTATTCACGATCCACRTGGCCCTAAAAAACAATATTTTGCAAAGAAACAAGAAGCATGTAGAAAAGACGTAGAACGTGCATTTGGCGTATTGCAATCAAGGTTTGCRATAATAGCAGGACCTGCACGGTTATGGAGGAAGGAAATYTTGCATGWTATAATGACTGCGTGCATCATTATGCATAATATGATTATAGAAGATGAACGTGATATTAATGCACCAATTGAAGAACGACGTGAAGTGCAAGACGTGGGAGTTGAGATGATGAACGATGGTGGACTTGAACAGTTTCTTGCTCGACACAAAAAGATCAAKRATAAAGATGYTCACTTTGAACTTCGTAATGCATTAATTGATCATTTGTGGGACGAGTATACTAACTCGGAGAATTAGTATTATTTATGTATTTTTTTAATTTGTGTTATTTGAACTAATGTAATATTTTTAAATATAAAATTTATTAATTACAATTTGATCGTTTTTATTTTAACATTTCTTCATTAAATAAATTAATTACTAATTATTTATTATTATTACAAATTATAAATATTGTTATTAAAAATAGTAAATAGAATATGTTATTTTAATGTGGGTCCACAAATTTGGTGTTTTTTTTTAGAGTGTGATTGGAGTTGAATTTTTTTTAGTGTTGATAGGCCCACCAGATTTGGTGTTTTTGGTGTTTTTTTTGGTGTTGAGGTTGGAGTTGCCCTTAGTTAATTATAGCATTTTCCTTTCCAGATCAATGTTGTTTAGCATTCAGCACCGTTAACATTTTCTATTAGCTGTTGATCTATTTCATATTTGTATACATTTTCTATATTATTTTATATGTATGATCTTTGAAACTTGGATTTAATTCAGTTCTGACACGGTATTATGATTAAATTGTCGATTTAGTTGAGAATTAGGGTTTAAGTTTGATTATTGGCTCCCAATTTGACAGCAGTTAACAATGTTGACATTTTGATTCGTCATTAATCTGTTTCTACATGTATAGATCTTCTGTTCTACGTCTGAACTATGAAATTTAGACTTAAATCGGTTTCGAGGTGGTATTATGGTTAAATTGTCGATTTAGTTTAAGAATCATGGATTATGTTCGATTTTTTTGCTTCATTTCACCTCCAATTTCTGGATTCATGCTCGTATTGTTGTTATAAATACTCCAACCGTTACGCATTCACAGGAATTGTAACAAGTTATACCACGAAGACATGAAAGATGAAATGAGCCTTTTGAGTTTTGGTATTGCCCCCAAAATAAAACTTATTTTGGTTTGAGCTGAGTTTTTTTTTTTTTGGTGTTAATGGCCCCCAGATTTTACTTTTTTTTTTTAGTGTTCAGGTTGGAGATGGTCTTAGAAACCATCAAACCAAACCGAACTAGTAAATCCCACCAGAAATAAGGTTAAGAGGATAAGATGTATGCAGAACTGAACTGACGTCTATCCTAAAAGCGAAGCAACTGTACTTTGAAGACCTCGGTTTGTGCAAGAGTGAGCAAACGGATAGAAGGAATATATGGTGAAATAGAAACCAATAACATTTCTATAAATTACTTCCAATAATCATAAAATATGTTTAACAAACTAGTAAAGTTAAAGAAGTGTTAAATTAAATCTCAAACATAATACCTCATTCTTTTCTATGAATTATTTCATCACCTAATGAAGTCTTAATCTCATATGGCTGAAGTAGATAACTAATCAGATGGTATTCCCTTCCCAGTCATGTTCACCTGATAAACAGGGCTTCCATCAGGATTTAGCAATCCCCAGTGTCTTTCTGTCGCTGGTCCGTATTTCTGGTTCTCATCATACATCGAAAATATGAAAGTCGGAATGATCATCCCTGGTCTTGCCGGAGTTCCGGTAGACGGAACACCGGTCATCTTTTTGATCAGATTGTTGTTAAACTCAGCTGCATTTTCTCTGCTTGCACCATACTCATCTGAATCACCTTCATGTGGCCAACCTGTTTCTCCAATAGCCAGCATCACATCATCGTATCCGAGTTTAGCCATCGCGTAGACCACCGAATCAAGCATCTGGTCAAGGAGGTCCGTGTAAACCAGCCCGGTGGCTGGATCAGTGTAGGTCTCATTTCCGCTTCTAAGTAAAGCAAAGTCAAGGCTTATGCCAGTGTGGTTTTCAGCCCTACTTTCGGACCAGGCAAAGTAAGGGTAAACGTCTAGGAAGAAAAACGATCGAGTTCCATTAACGTATTTCAATAACGGCACCATAAATTCTCGTATCTCCGGCTTAAAGCTTCCGTTTGAGGGTGGAAACGTTGTTTCCATCATGTCCATGGCAAGTGGAGTGCCGACTTTGATGTTGCGAATGCCTTGAGCTTTTATCGTGTTCTTAATCCGTCTTATGGCAGGTACAAGATCACGCGCTATTTGCAGATCTTGAGCGGTGCCGGTGGAGCTCAAGACTTCGTTTCCAACGAGCACAAACCGAATTCTGGTATTCGGATAGTGAGCTAGGACATGTTCATATACCCATTGGTCTGCTAGGTGTTGATTTGCAGCAATGCCGGAGATTTCATCATTCGCGACTGTGATTGCCACATCAATGTTTTTTCCCGATAGGAGGTGAAGTATTTCGTGGTCAGCGTCATAGAGTTTAACTCGTCCCACATTCATGTTTTGGAGGAGCTCGATCGATCGAGCTGGAGACGGAAGGTTGTTTCCTAGCCGTCCATAGTTTATACCGATCCTGCTAGAAGGACCCGCCGCTGAAATCGAACAATAAACATAAGAAATTTTCAGTTATGGCGAAAACCATTCAAATACTCTCTCCGTCCCAAAATAAACATCCATAATGAAAAAAAAAAATACACCGTTTTGGAAATATGTAATTATTATATTTTCAGTTAACTAAATGACAATTTTACCCTTGTGAGTAATAATTTTTTTCATCTCAAAGTGAAGGGTAGGATCGGAAGATGTATTTCTCCGTCTCGGAATTAACTTGCTTTTGAAAATAGACATTTATTTTGGGACAAACTAAAATAGAAATGCGAACGGTTGTTTTAAGACATACAGGATAACATATTAAGATTACTAAAAAAATAAAGGGATTTAGGGAGAAGGGTACTTGAGATTGCAATGAGACAGAAGAAAGAGAGGAAAACAAGAGGCATTTTGGTGAGTTTGTGGCTCTCCATATGAAAGAGTGCAGATATGAGCAGTTAGGAGTTTGATGGAGATTGATATATGAAGATGGAAGTGTAAGATGATATATATATACATGAGAATAGTGTTGAAAGAAAGAGTGGCTGTTCAACTTCCTAAAAGGTCTGTGAGTTGTTGGGGTGCCAATGATCTTTGTGAGAGTTTGATTTAGAAATGGTTATGTAATTTAGAATTGAGTAGTTTTTTATGACCATCAAGGAAGAAAAAATGAAGGTGAACAAGGTAAAGGTTATGAGTAGAGAGACCTTTGAATAATTTTTGTCTTGGGCCAAGTTTATTTTTATTTGCGTGTTCTATTTATATAATCTAACGTAACTAGGACTTTATTTAGGGGTCTTTTACCAAACGTTTACCGGATAAGTACTTAATGATAAAAGTCATTGCCCACACATGCCTTACGGGTAAGATTGTCGGTCCTTTCCTTGTCTGTTATAGGGTAAGATAAATGATTAAACAACCCGTTAGCGGCCTCATAATTGAAGATGAGAATTTAGTTGCTCAAATTATCGTTAAGGCTGATAAGTTAGTTGTTAGTTAACAATAGATATACAGTCATCAACTATTGTTAAAACTTGCAGATTTTATCCATTACCTATTTCTTAACATTGATGGCGTAAAATGACAGTTATCTTCCCTAATAGTGGTTAATTGGTATGTTTTCGTATAATAAATACAGTAATTTTGTGGATGACCCGAAACACAAAATGTGGTAAAAAAATTGGTCAATTAACGTAGCGAACGTTAAGATCTTTAGTTATTTTAATAGAGTTTTAACCATTTGAGCATCAAAATATGTAATAATGGTGTGTTATAAATATAATTGCATTTTTTATCCTACCAATTAGTTAGGTCATAATGAAAGATAGAAAACTAGAGTGGTTGAATGCCTGAGCTGTCCACAAAATACACAGCGACCAACAAACAAAAGAATCACATTGACCAAATTTGCACCTAAAATCCCGCTGAAAAGTAATTCTTTTATAAGTGTCTTCTAACTTCTAAGGCTCCTCATAGAAGTGGGCTTTTTTAACATGCCTAGGCCAAAAATCAGTCCTGGGCCGGGCAGGGTTAGGCCCAAACACTATTCCTGTAACCGGTCTCGACAAAAAATCAAAGGCCCGGTTATGAGACCAGTCTAGGCCAGGTCCAAATCGGTCATATGTATATTTTTTTAAATCGATTTTTTACATAATTTTTTTTAAGTTCTAAATAATACAAAAATGTTATTCTAGTACACTTGTAAATATGTAATTTGGTCAATTAAATACACTTAAAAGGTACGTTTTTTTGTTAGAATAAGAGTTGAAATCACAAATTATAACAAGAATCGTGAATGTATGTGAGTTGGTATATTCCCCTATATACCATATGACTTGTGTATAGTGAATAGAGGGTAAATGAGACAAAAAAAAAAACGATCAAAAATGAGAAAATTTGGTCATATGACCGTTGCGTATCGGTAATAAAACAATAATATTTTTGAAAAGTCGGACTAGGCCTATAACCGGTCTTAAACTGTTCCTGGGCCAGACCTTTTTTGACGAAAAGTGTAACCGGTTTCGCGTCGCCGATCCCAAGTCGGTCCCGGGGCCGGGCCGGATCCATTTGGCCATCTCATGGCTACATGATATGGGCTTATACAATCTTTATTCTCAGCTCAGGTGGACTCTTCTTCATCTTTGATTAGAATCATAAGCATTAGATGATCTCTCATATTTGCTTTAGATTGGGCCTCAATCCTTGTGTGTTGTTTTCAACAGAGGTTCAATCTTTGTGGACTTGTGGTCTATTCGTTACTATTTGTTTACTGTATCATGCGGGCTAAAAACACTTATCTGGTTAGAGATATTGTTGTTTGTCAAACCCCTTTTACCGGTCCATATTGTTAACGAAGATGTTGACCCAGTAGTCTAAGGGAGACTCTTACTTAGTCGTGATTAGTATTGCCTCAAGCTGCATTTTTATTCTTAACCGTTTAGTGTTTACTCAATTTATGTTGGTAAATGACCCCGAAATTATATTAAGATTCTAAATGGCGTGAGTGACGAGATCAAACATCAAGTCTTGGAAATAATGGCGAAGCCATGTGCTTTTCAAGGTTTGGCTTGAAATGGCATGTGCATGTATATATAATTCAGTGTTTTAAAAGACTCACTACGGCCGTCATCGTGGCATGTTGTGGCGCAAGGCTCGTCTCCACCGCCATGTTAACACTTATGGCGCACCATGGGCTGATTTGTATATTTTTTAAAGATGTTGGATCTTTATATTTAACTATTTAACCTTTTAGTGTTTTAAGTTTTATGGCTTTAGCAAATAACTACTTCTATATGGTAATATATAACGGTGGTGGTTCAAACGAGAACCCCTGTGATTTATAAGAACGCAGGAATAATTTAATAATCTCAAACTTTTTTAATTAATAAATTAACTTATATTATATATAAATAAATTAATAAGGACAGTAATATAATTAAGTAATTTTTATTTTATTTTAATTAATTATAATTATCTTTTTTTTCCTGCACGTTCGTTTCCACTTTCTTCTCTTCCCTTGTGATAATTGTGTGATTGTGTAACCATAATCTATCGAAACCATGATCAATCGAGTGTAATCATGACCTATCGAAACCATCAGTAATCTTTGTGATAAATGTGTGATTGTCTAACTCTAACCGATCGAAACCATGATCAAATTGAGTGCGCAAGTGATGTTATAATAGTGATATCACATCCATATTACACCAAATCGTTTAATGGATTTCACCCGTAATCGTTGTGATAAATGTGTGATTGTCTAATCCTAACCTATCAAAACCATGAGTAATCGTTGTGATAAATGTGTGATTGTCTAACCCTAACCGATCGAAACCATGATCAAATCGAGAGCGCTGTTATGGTAGTGATATCACACCAAATCGGTAGTTGATTTCCTAAGTTAACCCTAGCCGAGCGGAATCCTTGTGATAATCACATGATTATCACACCCAAATCACACCAAATCGTGTTGAAATAAGCGATAACCATAATAACCCATTATATTATCCAAATTATTGGGTTTAGTGTGATCGTGTTTTTAAAATTTTATCATTTTGAATTCCAATATTACCCTTTTGCCTCTCATTTTTTTTTGAATTGTTTTAATTTCATTTTTAATTTAAAAAATCTTTTAATTTTTATTGTTATCACAATATGAGGTTAATATGTTGTTCTCGCGTTTTCACAAATCACAGGGATTCTCGTTTGAACCCCTCCCTATATAGTAATAGTAAAAAAACATGTGTTTATATGTGCATGTGAGGGAGAGAGAGATATTGTCATAAGTCACGTCTTGAAAATATGATTTTGTTGTGACTTTTAAGGTTTGAGGTTTGATTTCACCGTCATATTATGTTTTACATCATTTGAAATAGAATGATCATCTGCTATTACTTTAGAAAAGGTAGGTGACGTAATCAGTTGGGCCACGAGGTTTGAAACGTAGCTCAGCTCATAAAGGTTTTCTTGCTATGAAAGGGCTCATAATTTGGATGTTCCCATTAAAAATAATCTTGAAAGTCCAAAAGTCATCAACCGAATTAAAACCAGGCTCATCAATTATCTTCAGACATGTGTAATGATCAATACTTAAATCATGATTCACAAAGCATTAACATATTATTTAAAACCATATTTCCCAAATTAATAAATGTATCTAGAAAATGGTACCCTTCCTTGTTGAATGTCATTTTATATGTGTTGTTTTCTTATTAAACGAGTTTTTTTTGGGATTCTGTTTGGATCGTGACAATACTTAGGTTCCCAATTCCGCTCACTATTAGGTTAACATTCTCGATTATCAATCAAAATGAATTATGATGAACATGTTTCTTATTCCTCATTTATCGGGTATAGTTTGGTAATCAACGTCTAAGTTTAACGGAAAAAAAAGATTTAATATATTATCTAAAACTAAATTTATAATTAATAGGACAGATAGTTAATTGCATAGGTTGCAAATTCAATCCAATATAATATTATGGTTAATAATAATAAAGTTGAAATTCAACTGAATGACGCGCTATATTTGAGGGAGTAACATGGGGCTGATTGTTTGGTGAACAACTAAAGTTTGTACACCCACAGGATAATTGTCTTTAAGAATTTAAACACGACATATCATCTATTACAAACAAATAAATAAATAAAAAGTTTGATAAAAACCTCTAAACGACGATTTTGAAAGTTGGTTCCCTAAAATAAGAATCAGGTGAAAGTTGGTTTCATTTTGGTGCAATTTTCCCATAAATATAAAATTGATCTTGTTCGTATATATACTATATTATAAAATATTTGATAAAAACTTTTAAAACCAATTTTTTTATGTAGTAAGTAGTGTTTATTGACGAATATTACTTAAAATTCAAGATTACAAGTAAATTGTGTGTAAGTACAACTTATTAAAGCTTCATGTTTGAATTCGTGTAACTAGCTGCAGATAAACATAATCGAATAGATGATAAATATCTCATTTTGAATATAAAAAATCTAAAATATAATTAGGATAAACATTAATTTCTAACAAGATACTTGATCGTTATCTTTATAAAAAATTATACTATTAAACTAAAAATAAAAAAATGAATTAAAGAAGTATAAAAAAAAGAAATTTTAAATAGTTAGTTTGGTGTTAATATTAATATTTTTTTTTTTAATTTTTTATGATATTTTCATATTTATATTTTATTAAAAAATAAAAACATTATCGTTTTTCTAAAACTGTATTATAACATCGAATGAGACAAAAAACGAAATATTAAAATCAAGATGTATCTCTCTACATTGTGTGTGTGTACCCTTCTAGTTTTTTAAAATCATATTCAAATTTTTTGTTTTGGTTCAGATTCTATGTTATCTCAAGTAAGGTGGAGAATTGTTGAGAATGAAAATTATGTTGAGAAGCGTAATAAGATATCTGAAATTCTAATCGCTTTTAATATCACGCCCACCTATGAATTGCATTTTAGAAGGGGATTGATCTGATGCACTTTATTAATGTTGACATTCAATTACGATTGATTCAAAGCTGAGGATATTTTCTTACGCTTCTCGTCATAATTTACCTTCTCAACGAGACCCAACCTATACCAACAATATCCCTTAACATAAATAAAAACTTGTCTTTATACATCTTTTAATTTGCAAACCTGTTTAAATTTATACAAACCAATCTCAATCATCTATGAATATAATAAATATTTGATTCTATAGATGTCTCGATTATTTACTAATATAAGACGTTTATTAGAATGAATAAATTTTGATATTTTTTATGAATATTTAAATCATCGTTTCCATTAATATTTTAATAGATTAGTTTGTATAAGTTATAAATACCATAATTTTATCAAAGATAATTGCAAGGAAAAGCAAAGAATATTGTGAACACATTCATGAAGGCCATATTATATTTTATGTGGTTATTAAAAGGATGCCTACGACCAAACCAAACCAACCAATTTGGTGAAGTCGTAATTGGATGGACCACAGAACAGGGTGGAGTTGTTATCCATCCAACGCATGTGCCTCTTCCTTCATTGCAATCATAACACTGTTTAATAATTGACAACTGAGATGTCATGTTTCTTATTCCTTTCAAACCCCACTTATTACATTCAGACACAACCTTCCATATTTGGCATTTCTTTCTTCTCATTCCAATCTATTGCCAGCTCACATTCAGCACCATTTTGGAACAACCTCAATTCACACAACTCTTCTCACATACGTTTACTTTTCTTTCTAGAAAAGCTCTCTTATACAGATAGAAAGAGAGGTGTTGTTATATATAACACTACTCCTTAAACAGAGGGGAGATGGTTCCCCAAGAAGAGATTCAAATCCCTAAATATGATACATGCATGCTCTGCTCAGCTCTGATACCATGTTAGGATATGTGAAACATTTACCAACAAGCTATATACAATAGTAAAAGAAAAAGATAAACATGCAGATTGGATATGTGAATCCAAAAATTCAATATATTTGTATAAGGATAGTCTTGAATGTACATAGCATAGAACAAGAAAATGACAGGTGAATGACCAGAAACAAAAAGAAGGTATATATCAACGACAACAACAACAACAACAAATGAAGAAAATTCAACAAATTACATGGTGGTAGAGGTACCCTTTCTCCTATTCTCAAGATTACAGATTTGCCTATCTTCCCAACACCTCTACCACTCATGCAATCAATAAGATTTTAAAGAATTCCACCCAAATGACCATAACAACAAACAAAGAAATTCAATTTTACTTGGAGGGGGAAATAGGAATAGTACCCTGTTGGATTTAGTCTACAGTTGTAGTTGCTCAAAGAATGAATAAATCAAAGAACTGAAGGAGAGTAGAGGGACCTGTATGTGTATCATCTTCCTTTTGCTTCTTTCTTCTATGGTCCCTTTACAAGTTTCTGATCAAAAGTTGGCCCTTTTTGCTATCGGCCATTTGTGGAGTCGAATGTGTCTGCAAGTCCCGAGGGCTTAGAGGGAATACTTGATTGAGTTTGGGTGAAGGAAGTATCGAACATGCTAGAGGTACCCTCATCTGCTTGCCATCTTTGAAGGATTTGGGGAAGGCTCATATGGAGGTCAATGCCATTACCATCTTCTTCTTCGTGTGTTGAAGGTTTCCATAGCTCTACAAGAGGTCCCAACACGTTGACTGCATGGCCCATGTCAGGTCTCTGATATGGCTCACGTGCGGTGCAGTGGCCGGCTAGCTCGGCCACTTTGCAAATGCTCTCGAGGGTTTCTTCATCTTCAGTGTCAAGGGTTTGGTCTATGGCTTTTACTATGTTTTCTTTGGAGATAAGGACCCTACGGAACCATGTCACCAAATGACTTCTATCGTCCGGCACGGTCTCGTCTAGGGCTTTTCTGCCTGTGATCAACTCCATTAATACCACTCCAAAAGCATAAACGTCCACCTTTGTAGTCACTCTCCCAGTAGCTGTTAACATCAAGAAAAAAAAATCCAAAATTTCAATGGTGTTTCATACAACATATGATATATCCAATGATATGTATCACAAACAAAACAAAACCAAACAAACCCAATATATCCAACCGAATGTAGGGTCTGAGGGGTAGGATGTAATGATTGATGTATGCCGACCTTAACTCTGTATCACCAGACAGAGGTCTTGCGAAAACGGCAAGTAGAAGTGTAAAACAAATAGAAAACACGACTGAAAGCCAGAGACTCGGGGAAAAAGGTTTTTTTTTTGTTTTTAAAGACAAGATTATAAAAAGAATGCAACACCAAAGAAACCCCAATCCCTGTCAAAAAGATACAACAAATCCATCTGAAGACTCTCAACCTTCCCCCCAACCCACCATCTACCCTCATTGCAGTCCTACAAGCAACCAACTACCCTTGTCGAATGAAATGTATCATGTATGGACCAAAATGCTTACGTAAGAAGTCATGAAAAAAATAATACAATACAGTCGAAAAGTAAACAGAAAAGGTTATCAAAGAAACACAACATGAGTGTAAAGAACAGAAAAAAGAATGTGCAGGTTATAATACTCACCAGCATATTCGGGTGCAAGATAGCCAAAAGTTCCCGCCAATCGTGTTTCAACCGAGTACTTCCCATCAGGTGCACTTTTTACCAAACCAAAATCCGCTACTTTGGCTCGCATATCGTCACCAAGAAGGATGTTTGATGGCTTCAAGTCTCTATGAATGAAGCTTTGTTGTGCCAAACTATGCAAATACTCGACCCCTCTACCAACATCCAAAGCTATTGAAACCCTTTGTTTCCAACTAAGAGGATCACTTTTATATTCCCTCCATTCGAACAAATGTTGGCTTAAAGTTCCTTGCGGCATGTACTCATAAACCAAAAGCCGCTCATTGCCATTGATACAGTACCCAAGAAGAGCTACAAGATGCCTGTGCCTAACTTTCGTTAGAACAGCAATCTCAGCTTGGAATTCTTTCAACCCTTTTGTCCCCATTACACCAGATTCCATCCGTTTTACTGCTATCTTGGTGCCATCATGTAGTTCCCCTTTATAAACTATCCCAAATCCACCTCTTCCCAATACATTTTCGTCACTGAAATTGTTGGTCACTTGTCGCAGAACTTGAATCGAAATTGTAACATTACCACCTTCAAAGACGGGCATTTCAGAATGATCGCCACTGCTTTGACTTTGTAATTCACTGAAAACTCCAAGAGCATCCGAACTACCTCCAATTATACTAGCTTTGACCAATTCTTTACCATTTTCTGGATCATCAACCCTCTTAGGCTTCTGGTTTCTCTTCTTGGTGTAACACTTGTAAGACACAAATGATACAATCACAACAAAAACAAGAGCACCAATGACAATTCCAACAACCATACCAGTCGAAACAGACACCTTCTTGGCGGCACCACCAGGTGTGCCACCACCTCCATTGCCACCATTGAGTCCAGAGCCAGGCGGTCCGCTAGACACATCTTTACCTAATAGAAGATTACCATCATGCATAAACTTCAATTTTTGAGGGACATCTGGTATAGGACCAGAAAGATTGTTGTTGGAGACATCAAGAAGTTGAAGATTTGGCAAAGATGTCAAAACCCCGGGAATTGGACCTACGAGATTGTTATCATTCAATGATAAACTCCTCAACGAAGTCAAATTCGCAAAGGCAGGCGAAATGGTACCCGAAAACTTCTGCTTTCCAAAGCTTACAGTCGTCACATTCTTCCCAGAAGAATCACAACTAACAAAGGTCCATCTTTGGCAAGCATCATTACCTTGCCAAGATTGTGCCAATTGCATTGGATATCCTAGAGCTCCGGCGACCTCAAGAAGTGACGTCACTTGGGGGTCACAAGGTCCAGGTGTAGGTAAACAGAAACTATTGGTATCAGTTCCTAATTCGGTTTTAACACCATCCGGAAACACAGGCAATGGACCCTGTAATTTGTTGTTTTGTAGAGTAACATTTACCAATTTAGGAAGAGACATCAATGATTGAGGAACTATGCCAGTTAATTGGTTATCCCTGAGTTGTAAATCGAATAAAAGAGTGCAATTTGAAAGATCCGGGATAGCTCCGGTGAAAGAATTAGCCTGTAACCATACTTGACTAAGTTGGGTCATGGAAGAAATCACATCAAGCGTACCAGAAAGCCCTTGCAACTGATTGTTAAGCCAGAGATTTTGAATTTCCGACCCAATAAAACTCCGGGGAAGGTTTCCGGTGAGGTTGTTGTAGGACAGCCGAAGATTCTGCAAATTCCGAAAGCTGTCAAAGAAGTCCGGTATCGAACTCATTATGTTGGCGTTGCTGGCCTGAAAACTTTGCAAATTACTGCTCTGAGTGAGATCGTTTGGGAGAACCCAGGGAGACAGATCTGAGTTATCGGAGATGCTAAAGGATTGTAAACTGGTGAGACCGGAAAAGAAACCCGGCGGGATGGAGGTGAAATTGTTGCTTTCAAGGTTGAGTTGTTCGAGGAGAGTGAGGTTAGCCAAGGTGGGTAAGTCGCCGGAGAGAGAGTTACGTTGGAGGTTAAGGGTTTTGAGTTGGGAAAGCTGGTTGATGTCTGATGGTAGGTTTCCGGTGAGGGATTTCGAAGGTATGTTTATGGAGGTAACAAGTTTGGAGTCATCGCAAGTGATTCCCTCCCATTTACAGAAGTCGGTATTGCTCTTCCAGGAGGATAGGGCGGGGGAGAGAGAGGTGGAGAGCTTTGCCATGACGGCGGCGTCATCGGCGGCGGTGAAAGACAGGAGGAGGAGGAAGAATGTCAGACAGAGGAGGCGGAGGTGACGGGCGTCGTGATATGCCATTGTTGGAGGATCCGATGGTTGTGGCGGTGGCAGTGGCGGTGGCGGTGGCGGTGGCCGGTGAAGACACCAAATAGAGACGGCAGAGAGAGGGAGTTTTGTTTGGTGGTGATCGGAGCGGCGTTGTGTATCGAGAATGATACCGCGTTGTGTTTCGCTTTACAGTTCATTGCGCTTCAGTTAGCATTGATTTCGATCTTATTCGGGTAAATAGTACAAAACAGTCCCTCAACTTTGAAGATATTGTAGTTACAGTCCCTCAACTTTGAATATATTGGGTTCTTATTCGGATGTTTGATCACAACCTTTCATGCCCTAGTTTCAAGTGAGATATATTGGGTTCGTTTTGATGTGAACCACAACTAATAACAACAAAAGTCTTAGACTGTCATATAAATTAAGGTGGTTTGGTTGTCGATTATTGCAAAATTTGTAGGACTAGGTTTATGGGTTGAAAAACATGTTACAAGATCATTGGATTTCAATCTAAATGAGTATCAACTCAATCCATGTGAATACTTTGACATGTGTTTTGTTTCGAGAATTTGTAATAACTCTAGTAAGTGTTTTTTTGTGACCATGTGTAATGCCAAAATCATAATCCTACTCAAATGTCATCCTGGAAAGAGCAAACTGAATCATAATTAGAAACCACATCATGTTTCAGGACCAACAAAACATCAAAATCGTTGCATGGAAGATCATATGTTTATGATGTTCATACTAGGAATACTACACTTATCAGTTGCAATAAATACAGAACATCCAAGTGAGATTTGACGGACTAAATAAAATATACGATACACATATTTGCATTTATTCTCACCATATTTCATCTAAGCCTATACTCGAGAATGTATTCTAGTGATGGTTCCAACGGTTTGCTTCATTTATTAAGTTTCATCATGACTAATCCTAAAGTTTACCAACACTTCATCTGCCATTAACCTGTAAACACCAACTAACTTTGCTATCATCAGTTATTACATCTCTTGTTTCTGATACCATTAACCTCTATTGTTACTCGACATGGAAAATTATTATAACTCAACCAGACTGAATATTCAAAAGTTTAAATGTTAATTCCTCGTAAGTCTTCCCATGTCCTTTTGTCAATAAACATCCCTGCTTCATTGCGTAACTAAGCTTCTAGCCCCAGATAGCATGGTAGGGATTATTTTAGGTCAATCTAGGATATAGTTCCCTTCCTGTTATGGGTTAGGGAAAATCATAATAAAAAAAATGCAAAAAGGATAAATGACAACATCTACGTAAAGTTATATATATTTATGGGCCTAATCAAAAGATAACTAATTAGTTTGTGGTAACCATGAAGTCCAATCTCAACCACAAATCAATAGATAAATTAGAAAATTTATAATTTTTGTAATTTTGAATTAAAATTTTAATGCAAGGACATTTTAGGCATTTTAAAACTCTCCTCTCTTATTTCTCCGTCCCCCGTCCTTCGGCCACCGTTCTCCGGTGATACCACAATTGTATCACAATGCATCTTATATGTGATTGGGTATCACATTGAGGTCGTTTGTGTGGTCGATCAAAGATGTAACATAGTGGTATCACAATGCATCTTATGTGTGCTTGGGCATCACACTGTGTCTTTTGTTTAACAGAGTCAATATTTTTAGGTATCACAGTGGTATCACCGGAGGTCGATGTCCGGAGGACGGGGGACGGAGAGAGAAGAGATGAGAGAGATGAGAAAATACCTAAAATGTCCTTGCTTAAAAATTTTAATTCAAAATTACCAAAATTATAAATTTCCTAATTTATCTATTGATTTGTGGTTGAGATTGGATCTCACGGTTACCACAAACTAATCAGTTCTCCCTTGAATGGACCCATATATATATATATAGGAGCGTTCAAATAAAAACATGTCTCATTTGTGTAAACCGTGTAAACCAATCTCTTCAATCCATTTTCTTGATCAATGACCAAGATTAGTTTACTTTATTTTAGGAAATAAAAAATAAATATATATATATATATATTAAAATTTTATTTTATTTCAACAGTAAGGGCAAAAATGGTAAACAAAATTTAACATTTGGTAACATTCTTCTTGATAGTAATGACACTATTTTTATTTTTTTAAGCAATATATTATTTTTAACTTTAAATCACATCCATCAATAAAACATATAAAAAAAATGAATATAACACACCATGTTCAATTATATGGAATGAATCGTTTTAAATTTTGAATTACATTATATGAACGAAATTAGTTTCACCATGAAAATGTTTCGGTTCACATAATTTATTTGCAACAAGACCCGGTTTCATGTTCATGAAACATGTTTCATTTTCCTTTTCATAATTTATTTTCAAAATGCATCGGTTTCATTTTCCTTTTCATCAACAAAATGGATCAACTACACCATCAATGCAACGGTTTCACCATAAAAATGTTTTGGTTCACCTAATTTATTTGCAACATGAATTGGTTTCACGTTCATGAAACCGGTTTCATTTTGTGGATTTTTTTTTCTTCATCTACGTTTTGATGATTTCATTCTATAATTCAATTGTTTCATCAAGACACGTTTCCTGATTATAACTCATGACAATATATGAAATCCAAATTTTTAATATTTTAATATAATTAAATATTTAAATATTACCATTTATACAATTTCTTTTATTACGTTTCATTAATTAAGATTTATTAATAACTTCCATATTTAATAGAAAATATTGTAAATGACCGAAATACCCTTATTGATTAAATTTAATTAGAAAAAAAATAAATTTTCCTATTGGTCGAAATTGGTTTACATGGTTTCTTAGAAATGCATGGTTTTCATTTGAACGTGCCCATATATATATATATGGTAGAGTGGTTAGGAAGTATCAACATGATAAGAGCTATTATCAACATAATTTGAATATATATATATATATATATATATATATATATACTAGAAGAGTACTCGCGCAATGCAGCGAGATACATCGTGTTTTTAATATTTCATTTTATTATTTATCTCAGTCGATGTTATAATATGACTTTATGTGATTTTGAGAAAGCGATGATGTTTTTATTTTTG